ACCCCTTTTACCCCCCCTTTCCCCCCCCTTTCCCCGCCATTCCCCCCCCCTTCCCGCCACTTTCTCACCATTTCCCGCCATTTTCCCCCCATTTTCCGCCATTTTCTCACCATTTTCTGCCATTTTTTTACCCTTTCCTCCCATTTTTTCACTGTTTTTTCCTCATTTTTCAACATTTCCCATGAGTATCCCTCATTTCCCGCCATTTCCCCCGTTTTCCACCATTTCCCCCATTTTCCACCATTTTTTCGCCATTTTTTCCTGTTTTTTCATGGTTTTTCCCCATTTTCCCCCTTTTCCATAATTTTCCCCCATTTTCCGCCATTTCCCGTTTTCCGCTATTTTCTCCCTATTTCCCGCCATTTTCTCCCCATTTTCCCCCATTTTTCCGCCATTTTCCCCCATTTTCCGCCATTTCCCCCTCATTTTCCGCCATTTTTTCCGCCATTTTCTCACCATTTTTTCACCGTTTTTTCCCATTTTCTCCCCATTTTCTCACCGTTTTTTCCCGTTTTTTCACCATTTTCCCCCGTTTTTTCCCCCAGGAGCGCTGGTTCTGGCGGGTCCGGGGGGGCCGGGTGATGCCGGGGCACCTCTGCCCAAAAGTGCAGATTTGGGGCATTCTGGGCAATTTTGGGGCCATTTTTCATCCCAATTTGAGCCAATTTTCGGTAGATTTTGAGCCAACTTTGAGTCAATTTTGGCCAATTTTGGGGCCATTTTTCATCCCAATTTGAGCCAATTTTCGGTAGATTTTGAGCCAACTTTGAGTCAATTTTGGCCAATTTTGGGGCCATTTTTCATCCCAATTTGAGCCAATTTTCGGTAGATTTTGAGCCAATTTTGAGTCAATTTTGGCCAATTTTGAGTCAATTTTGGCCAATTTTGAGTCAATTTTGGCCAATTTTGAGTCAATTTTGGCCAATTTTGGGGCCATTTTTCATCCCAATTTGAGCCAATTTTTGGCCAGATTTGGGATGTAATTTGAGGCAATTTTGGGGCAATTTTCAGCTGTTTTTCCACCTTTTCCCACCATTTTCCCCCCATTTCCCACCATTTTCCCCTCATTTCCCGCCATTTTTTCCCCTTTTCCCACCATTTTCTGCCATTTTTCTCCCTCGCTTTCTGCCATTTTTTCACGATTTTTTCCTGTTTTTTCATGGTTTTCCCCCATTTTTTCCCCATTTCCCGCCATTTTTTCCCCATTTCCCGCCATTTTTCCACCGTTTTCCGCCATTTTCCCACCGTTTTTTCCCAATTTTTTCCCATTTCCCACCATTTCCCCCGTTTTCCAACATTTTCTCCCTATTTTCTCCCCTTTTCCATCATTTTCCCCCATTTTCCGCCATTTCCCGTTTTCCGCCATTTTCTCACCATTTCCCGCCATTTTCTCCCCATTTTTCCCCATTTTTCCACCATTTCCCCCCCATTTTCCGCCATTTTCTCCGCCATTTTCTCCCCGTTTTTTCACCTTTTTTTCCCCATTTTTTCCCCGTTTCTCCCCGTTTTTTCACCGTTTTTTCCCGTTTTTTCACCGTTTTTTCCCGTTTTTTCACCGTTTTTCCCCGTTTTTTCGCCGTTTCCCCCCCTCCCAGTCCCTCCCAGTCCAAACCAGTATGACCCAGTACCTGGGTGGCGTGGTGGCCGCTGTGCAGGTGGGCGCTGAGCCCCCGCGCCAGGTTGGGGTTGTGCCCCCCCCTCAGGGGCACCAGGTGAGCGGCCAGGCCCAGGTAGGCCCCGAAATCCAGCTCCTGCCGCAGCGCCTGCCGGCCCCAAAACGACACAATTCACCCCAAAACCCCGAATTACCGAAATCCCCGAAAATCCCCCCAAAATCCCCGCAAAATTCCCGCGAAAATCCGCGGAATTCTGGTAAAAAACGGTGAAATTTCAGGAATTTCAGCACAATTCCGTCAAAATTCGGCCCAAATCCGTCAAAATCGTTTTCCCCCCAGGAGCGCTGGTTCTGGCGGGTCCGGGGGGGCCGGGTGATGCCGGGGTACCCCCTCCCCATCGGCCAGTTCTGGGCCGGGCTCCCCCCGAGCATCGACGCCGCCTACGAGAGGAGCGACGGAAAATTCGTCTTCTTCAAAGGTTCTTGGGGCTTTTTGGGGATTTTTGGGGATTTATTGGGGTTTTTTGGGAAGTTAATTGGGGTTTATTGGGGTTGAATTGGATTTATTGGTGATTTATTTGGATTTTATTGGGATTTATTCGGGTTTTATTAGAACTTTATTAGGGTTTAATTGAGACTTTTTGGGATTTATCGGTGATTTATTGGGATTTATTGGTTATTTATTTGGATTTTTCTGGGATTTTATTGGATTTTATTGGGGTTTAATTGGGTTTTATTGGGATTATAATTAGATTTTATTGGGATTTATTGGGATTTTATTTGGATTTTATTGAGGTTTTATTGGGATTTTATTGAGATTTTATTGGATTTTATTGGGATTTTATAGGGTTTTATTGGGATTTATTGGCGATTTATTTAGATTTTATTGAGGTTTTATTGGGATTTATTAGGATTTAATTGGGTTTTATTAGGATTTTAATTAGATTTCATTGAGATTTATTGGGATTTATTGGGATTTAATTGGGTTTTATTAGGATTTTAATTAGATTTTATTGAGATTTATTGGGATTTATTAGGATTTAATTGGGTTTTATTAGGATTTTAATTAGATTTTATTGAGATTTATTGGGATTTAATTGGGTTTCTTTTGGTTTTATTTGGGTTTAATTCAATTTTATTGAGATTTTAACGGGATTTCTTTGATTTAATTGGATTGCGTTGGGATTTATTGGGGATAATTGGGATTTTGGGGCATTTTTTGCCATTTTATGGGGATTTTGGGGCAATTCCGGGGCCGAATTTGGGATCATTTCAGGGTTAATTTTGGGCCCTTTTGGGCAAATCTTGGGCTGAATTTTTTGGGTGTTTCTGGATAAATTTTGGGCTGAATTTTGGGTGAATTTTTGGGTGATTTTGGGCTGAAATTTGGGATAATTTCAGGGTTAATTTTGGGATTTTAATTAGATTTCATTGAGATTTATTGGGATTTATTAGGATTTAATTGGGTTTTATTAGGATTTTAATTAGATTTTATTGAGATTTATTGGGATTTATTGGGATTTAATTGGGTTTTATTGGGATTGCGTTGGGATTTATTGGGGATAATTGGGATTTTGGGGCATTTTTTGCCATTTTATGGGGATTTTGGGGCAATTCCGGGGCCGAATTTGGGATAATTTCAGGGTTAATTTTGGGCCCTTTTGGGCAAATCTTGGGCTGAATTTTTTGGGTGTTTCTGGATAAATTTTGGGCTGAATTTTGGGTGAATTTTTGGGTGATTTTGGGCTGAACTTTGGGACAATTTCAGGGTTAATTTTGGGTGATTTTGGGCAAATCTTGGGCTGATTTTTTACAGGGATTTTTTGGAATTTTTGGGGTTCCCAAGGGATTTGGGGGTCCCTGGAGGGATTTTGGGGGGGTCCTTGAGGAGCTTTTTGGGGTCTTTGGGGAGGTTTTGGGGTCCCTGGGGATTGGATGAGTTCTGGTGGGATTTGGGATCATTTTTTGCCATTTTATGGGGATTTTGGGGTGATTTTGGGCTGAAATTTGGGATAATTTCAGGGTTAATTTTGGGTGATTTTGGGCAAATCTTGGGCTGATTTTTGGGGTATTTCTGTGTGAATTTTGGGCTGAATTTTCAGTTAATTCCAGGGTTAATTTTTGGTGTTTCTGGATGAATTTTGGGCAAATTTTTGAGATGAATTTTGGGATAAATTTAAGTAGAATTTTGGGTGATTTTTGGCAAATCTTGGGCTGATTTTTTGGGGCATTTCTGGATGAATTTTGGGCTGGATTTTTTGGTTAATTTTGGGACTTTTTTTTGTATTTTTGCCTGATTTTGGCCGTTTTCTCCCCGCTCCAGGCTCCCGGCACTGGGTGTTCGACCAGGGGCAGATTTTGGCCAAATTTTCAGTGAATTTTGGGGAAATCTTGGGCTGATTTTTGGGGGATTCTGGGTGAATTTTGGGCTGAATTTTTGAGTGATTTTGGGTGAATTTTGGGATTAATTTTGGGTGAATTTTTGGGCGATTTTGGGCTGAATTTTGGGATAATTTTAAGTTGAATTTTGGATTATTTTGCACAAATCTTGAACTGATTTTTTGGGTGTTTCTGGATGAATTTTGGGCTGAATTTTTGGGTGATTTTGGGTGAATTTTAGGATTAATTTTGGGTGAATTTTTGGTTAATTTCAGGATTAATTTGGGGTGAATTTTGGGGTGAATTTTTGGCTAATTTCAGGGTTAATTTTGGGTGATTCTGGATGAATTTTGGGCTGAATTTTTGGGATAATTTTAAGGTGAATTTGGGGTGGTTTTTTTGGGTATTTCTGGATGAATTTTGGGCAATTTTGGGGTGATTTTGGGGTGAATTCTGGGATAATTTCAGGGTTAATTTTGGGCAAATCTTGGGCTGATTTTTTGGGTGTTTTTGGATGAATTTTTGGGTGAATTTTGGAGTGATTTTGGGAACATTTTTGGGTCTTTCCAAGTGAATTTTGGGCAAATTTTCAGATAATTTCAGGGTTAATTTTGGGACTTTATTTTTTTTTTAATTTTTGCCTGATTTTGGCCGTTTTCTCCCCGTTCCAGGCTCCCGGCACTGGGTGTTCGACGAGGGCGTCCTGGCCCCCGGCTACCCCCGGCCCCTGGCCGAGCTGGGCCGGGGGGTCCCGAGTGACCGCCTGGACGCCGCGCTGCTCTGGCTGCCCAGCGGCCACACCTACCTCTTCCGGGGCGACAAGTGCGTCCCCGGCACCTTCCGGAACCTTCCGGGACCTCTCAGGAATTCCTGGGAATTTTTTGGGATTTTTTTTCTGGAATTTTGGGGCTTTTTATGCATCTTCCAGGACCCGCATGGGCTGTTTTTCTGCTCTTTCCACACCTTTCAGGACCTTCTCTGCATCTTCTAGGACCTTCTTGGAACTTTCCAGAATCTTCCGGGACTTTTTGGGACCTTCCGGGACCTCTCAGGAATTTCTGGGAATTTTTGGGATTTTTTTTCCTGGAATTTTGGGGCTTTTTTAATGCATCTTCCAGGACCTGTCTGAGCTGTTTTGGGGCTCTTTCTGCACCTTTCAGGGCCTTTCCTGCACTTTCTGGAACCTTCTCTGAACTTTCTTGAACCTTCCGGGACCTTTCGGGGATTTCCGGGAAGTTTTTGGGATTTTTTCCCGGAATTTTGGGGCTTTTTTCTGCATCTTCCAGGACCTGTCTCTGCTATTTTTGGGACTTTTCGGGACCTTTCAGGACCCTCCAACCCCCCCCAAATTCCTCCAGATTTGACCTAAATCCCCCAAATTTCCCCCAAATCCCAAAAAATTCTCCCAAATCCCCCAAATTTCCTCCAAAATCCCTCAAACCCCCCTAAATCCAAAAATTTTTGGCAAAATTCCTCCCGAATCCCCCAAAAACCCTAAAATTCGCCCAAATTTTACAAAAATCCCCCCAAAATCTTACAAATCCCCCCCAAAATCACCCCAAAATTCCCGAAAATCCCCTCAAATTAACAAATTTCCCCCCAAATTCACCAAAATCCCCAAAAATTCTCCCATCCCCCCAAATTTCACTCAAATCCCCCCAAAATCTCCCGAAAATCTCTAAAATCCCCTAAAATTCTCCCCAAATCCTCCCAAAATTCACCTAAAATTTTCTTAAAACTCCAAAACCCCCAAAGTTTCCCTCAAAAATCCCCCAAATTTACCCCAAATCCCCCAAATTTTCCCAAAAATCCTCTAAATATCCCCAAAAATCCCACAAATATCATCCCAACCCCCCCAAATTTCCCCCCAAACGCCTCAAATTTTCCCTAAATCCCTGAAAATTCCCCCAAATTTTCCCAAAAATCCTCTAAATATCCCCAAAAATCCCACAAATATCATCCCAACCCCCCCAAATTTCCCCCCAAACGCCTCAAATTTTCCCTAAATCCCTGAAAATTCCCCCAAATTTTCCCCCAAAGCCCCCAAAACTTCCCCAAATTTTCTCATAACCCCCCCATATTTTCCCCAATCCCCCCCAAAATCCCCCAAAACCCAGAAATTTTCCCCAAAAATCCCCAAATGTTCCACGTTTTCCCTCAAAATCCCCCAAATCCCCCAATTTTTCCCCAAAAATCCCCCCAAAATCCGCCAAATATTCCCAAAACCCCTCAAAAATCCTCCAAAACCCCCCAAATTTCCTCATCTTTCCCCAAACCCC